AAGAATTGTGTTTTGCTTTAGCACCTTAATTAATAATATTGGGTTTAATTAAAAAAAAAAAAAAAAAGCCTAAGCCTAATCTTAAGGTTTACTTTTCAAGTTCAGAGCGAAACAAATTCTAAAAGTATAGTATTATAAAAATATGCTTTCACGTGGTGTGAAAAGTTTTTATTCTGTATTTTTGGAAACAAATGCCATTTCTCTGTTTCCCTACATATAACTTTGGAGCTTCTGTAAATTTTTGAAAGTAATAAAAAATAATTTACTGTCATCATGAACTCATGCATAAATTTCATAACTGAAAAGGCCACATTTGCTTCACTGACTTATAATCATCATAGGTCAATGAGGACTTTCAGGATAAACTAACTCTTTAGTATTTTAAACATAGCTTTAGCTAATTCCTGTACAAAGACCATGGGATACATTTCCCCTGTTATTCACTTATTTTTTTCTTCTCTGTTCTTTTTTACCTAAACCCAAATATACTTTGTCCATTTCTTTTTCCTCATGTTGGGAAAAATGCCCTAGGCAGACCATTAATACAGTCTCATAAGTTAAGAAAATTTTCTTTGTGAAAATGTTGGAAGCTGCCTTACTATCAGGACTTTATTTTTCATTGAACAATACTGCTTCAGACTATTCACAGCTGTGGTTTCTCTGAACTCAGTAGTCTCATTTCCTTCTCCTAAATTGTGGCTGAGCCCATGACTGAACATTTCAATGGCAAGGGTTGAGAAGATAAAAAATTATTATTTAAAAAAGTAGATATTTTTAGTATCAACTAAGGGAAAACTTCCTGGCTAGGATTCTGTATAATACATTATAAAGGTAGTCAGACTATCACAGATACTGCAATTTGGAGAATCCCTACATGACTTGCTAGGATCTGGGACAGCTGCCTAACACTTCTTCTCAAAGAGAATTACTCACTTTCACTAATGGCCGATACCTGGCTCTGTAGTAAAGCCACTTGCAAAATACCTATTTTTAAAAATTACCATTTTTCAAGTGGAAAAAGCACATTTCTCTGTTTGTTTAATGAAAAATAATATCTTTAAAAATTAATAAATCAGCTTCATTCTAACTTTCTGTACATAGTTGAAGATTTAACTTAGAAGCAGACCTGCTCAGATGTATTCAAGCGTAGCTAATCTATGGAGGGAGGTGGGGGCCTCTCTTCCAAGTTCTCTGTTCCCAGTATAGTAATTGATTACAGCAGTGTCCTGCTGAGAAGCCAAGATTAATAAATTGCTTTTCACTGAGCTGTCTAACTGGCAAAAGAGAGTATGTAGAAATTTCTGTCTATACTGATTTGCATAATGAGGTAAATCCCTAAGCAGTATTTGCACTACTTCAAGAGTTTAGGAGTTTTGAATCATCTTGTGGAAAAGTCTGTTTCCCTACTGGCTATATTGAGAATCACATCTTTCCATCTCCTTTTTCGCCTTAAAATCCCTGTTCTAACAACTGACCCATTCCTTTAACTGCTATATGATATATACCAGCTTAAGTATACCACAGCTGACATCCCAACACTGTACTCTCCAGTTGGTTGTCCTAACATGCTTTGTTATGAAAAATACAATATTTTCACAGTAGCTGGATTAACTATTCTAATCTTGTTGAAATGCTCTCTTTTAACAGTGATCAGTTCACCAGAATCTTACCAGTTTCCTCAACTGGGGGAATCCTCATGTAAGTAACTGGACATATATCCTGAGTGATACTAAAACTTCATCTGTTTTATTTCCCTACTATGCCTTTCAGGCCAGTTATACATCTGGCCTGATACATATCATGTATCATGTATGTCATGTATATCTCATATGTCATATATCAGTTCATCTATCTGCAGAATACAATCAAAACCATTCAGATTTCCAGAGATCTGCTGGTATTCTTTCCAGTGTAAATTTGTTTTTATAAAAATGCAACACTGTTTTGTAACAAGGCAAAATCAAAGATTGCTTTGAGTACTTCTTGAAGGAAGTGTGAAATGGTCAAACCTAGTAACAGTTAGCTGAGTTAAACAATAAAGTGAAAGCTACTCCCTGCGTCCTTTACCTTTTCACATGCAGCTCCTGCTTGATTAACTGGGCGAGAAGTTTGTGTGTCCAAGTGCATTTGCCATGAGAAACTTGCATATTCCCTGAAAAAGTTCAAAAGTTATGAAACAAATACAAACACAGTTTCTAAATAGATGGTACTAGTTATCCTGGGCATATACACTGTCAAGACACCTATGAATTGCACCTTTCACTGTTTGGAGGCTATCAGTAGTGCAATAGGTAACAGGCAAACAGGAGTTTTGATGCTACAGTGTATGAATGCCTGCCACATTTCATGAGTGAATGAAATTACCCCTCCTCACTAACCCCCAGCCCAACTCTTCTGGTTTTGTTTTCTTATTTCCCCTTTCACTCTGTCACTTGGCTCCCTGTCACCCCTCACTTTCAGCTGGCTCCCTTGCCTCTGTATCACACAGGAAGCCAGTTCATCACACAAAAATAAGTGAAGCTAGACAGCTAAAACAAAGCAAATAGTGCAGCAAGTTCACTTGGCTTATAGGCACTAAAGCCAGATAAATACCAGGACAGAGCATAGGCAGAGCAAGCTGCAGAGCTGGAAGCAGAGGCAAGCAGTTAAAACAAGCTAGGGGTCTGCCTTGCTGCACTGGCAGCAGTTAGCTCAGCTCAGCCACGCTGTGAGCCAGTTACAGATCCATATCTTAGAGTAGGGCGTGGGCATCACTTCTGTGGGATCTTGGCACCGCAGAAAGCTTATCTGGAAAGAAGATGCAGCAATACAAAGCTACAGTGCCTGCTAAGGACACGTGCTCTTAATGTGGTTTTGTGTTGGAAAGAGGGGGGCTAAAAATCTTCAAAAGGCTTCTTGTTTCTTCAGTAACATCCTTGTACTGTTGGTCTTCCTAGGATTCTCTTACATATTGGAAGTGAAGCGTGTGCTCTCAGGTTTTACTGGATGAGACTGAAAGCTGACTCTGCTGCTTATGGATACAGAAAATCCACTGGTATCATTCTAGCCCTCAGTGATTTGCCTTCTTCATGTGACATTAATCAAGAACTTTGTTGGCAGTTGCGGCAGAGAGGTCAAAACCTATGCAGGCATGTCAATTTGATTTTCCTGCCCCTACACCTTAGTTGAGTCAGCGCAGTAGGCTATGGATTGTTATTTTGTGTTGCTACCCTCACTGTACCTCTACTGTGCACAGAGGATTTAATTTCCAGGATTTTTAAAACAGCAGTTTCCATGAGTGTGAAATACAAATGAAAAATGTTAGAGAATGTTCAGAGGATTGTGCTTACTGCAGCTTTCCATGACAATTGCAGTAGGCATAACTTTTATCTAAACCCACGTTCTGTTTATTTCTGTTCTTGCCCATTAGTTATTTTGCCAGTCCAAGAAAAGCCAAAACCTCTGGTGGGATGTTGAGCAACTGACTGCTACATAAACAGGTTCCTCTGAGCAATGTCTTAATTTTGCAGTTACTGATGAATGTGAAGCAGAGAGAAAGTGCATTCTAACTTAACTCTGAAAGTCTTCTTGCCATCAGCAGTAGGATTTGAACTTGGCTGTAATGAATCACAAGATGTACCAGAGAAAAAGTAAATATCTCTGGGGACTGAAAGGATAACAGTGCATTCTTCCAACTTTACTTATGCACTGGCTGTAGCAAATGCCAAAAGATGATAACGTATGCAATGAATCATGTCAGCCATAACTGCAAAGGAAATGTATTTCATGGCTGGTTAATTCTTAATTGAATCTGGTGACTCTGGCCTAAAATAGAGAGCAAAATATGTCAATGATCAAAAGTCTTGTGAAGTCCACACTTGAAGCAATTCATGCACTTCTATGGATCCTATCCAATTTTCAATCAGAAAATGGTATTTCCAACCCTCATTTCAGATCTGAGTGAACAGAATAAAATGGAATGATTAAAAACTCCGAGAAGAGTTTTCATCCAGTTGATGGTGTCTCAGATTATGGTTATTCCAGCCACTCCTACTCAGTAAAAGCAATTGTACTATGAGAAAAAGGAGGTCAGAAATGGACCAAAATAGGGGAGGAAGGAAGGAAGAATAATGGTCACATCTGGGGATGACTTATAGTCCAATCCTGACAGTGCAGCTGCTGTCTCATCTGACCAAACATCTCACTGACACTGAACGATCTAGCCATTCCTTAGTAAGAAAGTGGCAGGATTGGAGAAACATTGGCAGGGCTGGAGACAGTGTGACTATACCCATTGTTCCCTTGGGGTAAAATGCATTCACATTTTTTTGTAAACACATGTTATTTTCAGCCCATATTTTATCTTTCACAAAACAAATTCATCTTGCTTTGTTGTCTGCAGGCAAGAGAGGATATGTAGGGAGATTCTGCTGCTCTGGAGCAGAGCACTTCTGCCATGGCCTTTGTGTGGTTGGACAGGTTTCCACATCTGTTTCCATCCCTTTGTGAGGCTAGTCCCCATTTGTGAAAAATTGCTGGAATACACTGATCAATACAGAATACCTGGGCATTTGACAAGCTTCAAAGGTTATGGTTTATCTGAAATAATATATTAGCATTAGCACCTCTAGCAATTTGCATTTTGGCATATACACTGAAAAGTTTATCTTTGTGCTCAGAATATGATAGTGATCAAAAGACTATTAGAGATAACTGTTCTCCATCTTTGCACAGGTAAGCTGGGGAAAACAGCTCTGTAGCATTTCTTTATGCTCCAAGAGGTAACACCTCTCTTGGACCAGGCAAGGCAAAAGATGGGATAAGAATTTCAGGCATACGATTGAAAACTGCATGTCATGAAAAACCTCCCCTTGTGCAAATCTGAGGATGCAGCAAAATCGTGAATTACAGAACAGACAAGCAGAGCTGGAGATAAACAAAATTCAGTGCTTCAGTTTCAGTAAGTGCAGCTTTTGTCTTTGAGACACTGTACATGCTGGACCAGGGAACAGAAAAATAATAGGGGGAGGCGATGTCAGACAGAGCTCCCTTTTGTGTTTCTTGTCCTATCTTTCCTGAAGGGAAGGACGGAGAGGTGTAATTTTAGGCGAGACAGCAAACGGCTATAGAGCCACCTTCAGGCTGTGCCCTTCTGGGGTGCCTCGCAGGTCCCCGCGGGTGCGCCCGGACCGAGGCCGGGGCTGGACTGGAGCGGGCGAGGAGCATCCCCGCCGGCGGAGCACCATGGCAGCTGCCGGGGAGGTGGAGCCAGCCGCTGACCTGCCAGCATCGGAACACGCTATCGGCTTTGAATAAATCCTCCCTTTTTCCTTCCTACCTGCGCCGAAAAACGCGAGGAAAAATAAAAATATTAAAAATAATTATATATATTTTTAAAAGCAGGGCTGGCAGGAGAAAACAGGAGAGAGGCCGGGTGCGTGCGGCCGCCGGCTGCGGGAGGTGCATGAGGAGCTCGGCTGGGGGCTGCCGCCATGGAGCACATCCGGATGCCCAAGGTGGGTACCGGCGGGCGGGCGGCGGGGCCGGGAGAGGAAGCCTAGGCCCCGGCAGCACTCCAACAGCACCCTACCATCCCTCCGGCCGGCTGCTGCTTCTGCTGGAAGGAGCCTTTGGCCGGAGCCTGTGGCTTGAGGCAGTGCACAGCCATCCTCTGCAGGCTTTGTAGCTGATGCGGAGCTTTTTTTTCAGCAGGTTTGCTGTGAAATCCGCACAAATACTCGTTGTTTTGCTATGTGGGCTGAAGATTTGTCGGGTATTTTTCCTAGTTTTTATTCTGTCCTTCCTGTTAACACTGATGGTGTCCATGAGTTGTAGGTATCCAAAATCACGTCTGTAGGTATCCAAAATCAGGTCTGTTGTCTGCTTCTTAGATGCCTTTCATTTATCCCAGTATTTCAGACCTGGTGATGACTTTGTGTTTGTATACCAGCATTTGGGCAGCATGAGGCCTGTATTTGTTAACAGAATTGCCATCGTGCCCCGAAAAAGAAGATACTATTTTGACACATGAATATTGCAGGTTAAAAATAATAATCCCAAATGAACGAATAAGTTAATTTGAAGTGGGAGTAGGATTTTTTTCACATATATTTATGTATTTATTAACCCAAACCCCTGATTAAGATTATTTATGTTTGATTTGTGGCTGTCTTTTATCAATATTTAGTATGATGACTTGATTTTGAGATGAGGGCCTTTTCTTACTTTATCTACATTTTGGGGTCTTTAGGTGTTGAGGTGCAAATATATTAAAAAGGTAGGCAGTTACAACAACTGCCTTTCCTCACATCTCATTTAATGATCAATTATCTCCCTGTGTGGGAAGGAAGAATCTCAGAATAGCAAGAATGTATCCTACTGCAAGTAGGAAATTATCAGTGAAAGTTGTCTCACAGATGCTTCTGACCATTAGCTGAAGAATGCTGAAAGCATGAATGAGGAAAATAGGGAAAATAAATGAATAAAGGTAGAAAAAAAATCCTAAAAATAAATGGTCATATTTGTAGTGAATGGAAAGCCCAGGCAAGCCCAGGCAATGGAAGCTTCTCTGTTAGCTTTTCTACAAGCAAGTCCTTAAAATGTTACTATGCATATGCAAATCCCATTTCTGCATCCAACAGCTCTGAGTAGGCAGTATACTGATGACTCAAGACACCAGAAATCTTACTCAGTGCAAGGTGATTCTGCAGTACTGGTTCCTAGCATTCCCTTACATTACAGCTATGCCAAAAGTTATCCTTCTAATGTAATAAAGCAGTTTAGAATGCATTCTTTAAAGGTTCAAATGATACAAAAATCCTTTAATATTTCCTACATAAATGTAGAAAATGCAGGACACTCAACATGAGTCAGTATTGAAATACCTCATCTCTCCAGTTACTCTTAAGTACACTGACAAGTCAGCATACATACAGTTACCTGGCAGAACTGGTATCTTTGCTTTGTTTGTTCAAAAAATCTCAGCTTAAATCAGCTACCAGAACAGTGATGGGTTTTTTGGGGGGGTTTGCTTTTACTGATTTTTTTTATTTATTTTTTAGAATTCAGAATGTAATGATGAATGGTTTCCAGTGCCAGTAATGTAAAAATAAGTGAGGGAAAGCTATGTGAATATAGGGGTATTATCACTGTATCCTGTAGTCGTTTCTGCTGTCGTATTTCCTCACTCCATCCAATTTTGTCCTGAGAGACATTTGACAAGCAACTGCCCTATTCTGTAAAGGTATTAATCTCAGATAATGATACTTTCCTTGATTTGAAAACCCAGCAAAATGGGAAATCAAGATAAATACATACTTAAAAAATTAATAAACTTAATAATATCTGAAGATTAAATTCCTGCCCCAAGTAAAAGCTTTTCCTTCAAAAAGGAGTAAAAAAGTCTATATTACATGACATCCATTAGGACTTGGCAATTGTTTTTTATTTTAATTGAAATATAAATATAGTGAGTGATGGATCATAAATATTAAAATAAATCTGATAAGATAACTGTCATTAAAAAGGCAGGAAGAAATTCCATACCAGCTGGACAAGTAGTTCATTTAGATCACTACTCTGTGTCTGACAGTGACAGAAGGAGAGCAATATAAACCTGGCCACATTCTGTACCCTCAGTTGTATTAGCGTCCAACCTTTCCTAGTTCTATTAGTGTCCGTTTATGGACCTCTCTGTGTGAGTTTGCCAAAGCTGCTGACAACTCTATACCTCTGCAGTCTGCATGGAAACAAGTTACAGAAGATTGTGGCTACAAAAGAATACTTTCTTCTAGCTATTAAAAAGTTCTTCGTAGTTTTATTCAATACTCCCTGCTTCTAGCTTCAAGGGTTTGATCCATAACAGTTCCATGTTTGCCTTCACTGTAAATCTTGATCACAACCCATCAGATTCTGACAATTTTGGAGAAATGTCAACAGTGACCCTAAGACCTCTTTCCTGTGCGGTAACTATTCATTCTCTGTCCATGGTTGTGTAGATATGGTTTAGGTTGTTTTTCCTATAGGCACACTGTTTTGTGTTTCTCTATGTTGAATCTTTTCTGTGACTCTTTTGCCCACACAAGGCAAGGCTCTTCTGGTGTTTTTGTGCCACAGATTCACTTTTTAAGACCGCTTACGATCATCTACAGAATTGAAGATTTTGCTGTATATTCTTTACTTCAGGTCATTGAAAAAGTTGAATAAAACCAGTCCCAGCACCAGACTTTGTAGGACTTAACTGTTGATTCTTCTCCAACCTGAAAAGAGATCATTAAGCCCTAGTCTTTGCTTCCTGTCGGCTTCATTTGTAAATGGACCTTTCCTCCAGTACCATGGCAATTTAGTTTCTCTAATAACCTTTGATTATCAGAAGTTTTTTTTAACTCCAAATATGTTATGTTCTCTGGGTCCCCTTTACCCATGTGCTTTGTGGCAGCATCGCAGGATTTCAGCAGGATTTCCTGCTGCAAAAGCCATTCTAGTTCTTTCCCAGCAGACTGTGTGCATCCACCTGAAAGAACAATTCTGTTATTTCACATGCTGTTGCTGTAACTAAGTATTTTTGCTAATGATACATTGTCTAGTCTTTCGCCAAAAGACATGATGCCTTTAAGTCTAGTTCTGAAGAATTCAGCTGCTGTTTCTCCTTAGCAAGTAAAAGTAGCAGAAAGAGAAGCCAGGTCTCTTGACAGCTGTCTGTTAGACGAAACTGCTTCTCTCTGTTATTTTTGAAATGGTATTCCCCAGACCTTCTGGACCTTCCGGACCTTCCCTGGACTCTCCAGATAGCCAAGTTCTTAACACGCTATTTATTGTACCGAATGCTATTGTCATACCATTATACTATGGGTAGAACACAGATTGCATGCATGATGTGTGCTTGTACACAGGTACATATTCAGTAATGATAGATTCACAAAGTAAATGCTGTCCTACATATGAAGGCTGTAATTTGAATGCAGTTAAGAGTTGCTAAAAGTCACTCATTGCTAAATGGAATTATATATAACTCCAATAATATTTAAAAAATTACGAATTAGTAAACTCACTGACTGCTACGTTATGGATTGAGCAGCAAGATAGTTTTGGACAACTCTCAAAACCTGAAATGGGACAAACTGCTCCTAACAGTCATAAAAAATTAATACATGACACTCCTGCACAGACTAGCGGCACATCTTGTTAACACGCGTAGAGATATGTACGGCCGTGGACAGGCTGGCAGATAAACAGCTCTGAAGATACGTATACCCCCCACAGGGACTTTGTGAACCGTTCCTAATCGGTTACCTGATTTTATTTTATTTAACACTGTTCCATATCATTTGGCTTTATATATTGGCAGGAGGCCTACCAAATGGCCTACTTATAATAGACAATACATCAGATTTATCCCTGGTGTAAGGCTGTCTTCAGTGGAGCTAGTCCAGAAATTCATTTGGCTCAATGTCTCACGTTAACAGCATACTTGGGATAACTTGAGTTGCTCAAGTGCTTTCATTTTTGTGACGACATGGTAAGGTATTTCCTTTCAGTGATCCCTTTCACAGGCAGAGTTTAAGATACACTGCCATTTCTCATGATAATGTCAAATTTTTCTACCAGATGTACTACTTTCCAAAACAAATTTCCAGTGTGCGTAAATGAGTTCTGTTTCCTTTTAGTTTCAATCTATTTTCTGTTCCATAGTTCTTGCTTTTTATTCAAAAAGTTTTAGAATATATGTGAGTTTTCCCAAAGTCTCCATCAAAAGAGCCATGTAATTTACATCCACTTTATAAATGACACATGTAAATGGCAAAATAGTTGTCCACCTAGGTCAATGGCAAAATTAAACCCAGCACACCTAATCTTTACTTTGCAGCTACATGCTCTGGGCTATGGATCTCCACCTTTTTTTATGCTAAGCTGGGTATTTTTACCATTGCTCTCTTTGTGCCTTCTGTTGAGGTAAGAAGTGACATTGTAGTTAAGTTCTCCATATTCAGGCTACAATTCCTTTTGGAGAAGTTTGATTTTACTTGTGATGTAGGAAGGTGTCAGCAGTCCTAAGGCAATATTAGGAGTCAGTTGAGGATGTGGGCTCCTTGTTTACCCTACAAGCCAGGGAATGCAGTGCTGCAGGCATTGCACTGTAGTAGTCCTAGCACTTGGTTAACTTTTATTTAGTTTGCTACTTAGGAAAGGTAAAGGATGTGAGGTTGGCATGGCCCTTGCCTTTTATTGGTGTTTTGGGTATTCAGCTTACTGTGGACACATCACTGCAACCTCTTTGAAGTGCAAGTCGATTTTCTGCTTTTCAAATCTTGTGTAAAGGTGGTTGTCATTCTGTCCTCTAAGTATACAGCTTAGAGCAGTGCACCTTACAGTTCAGCTGGTGCTTTCTGATTCTGTAACTATTTTCTCACTTTACATCATGGTTAGGAAATGTCTAACATGTTCTGGGGTCAGTGATGTTTAATGATTTCAGACACATCATTCTACTTGACTGCTTATACTCAAAGTGATGCATTGA